TGTACACACGGGGACTGGGTTTGGACACGGGGGTCTCCCCAGTGAAGGCGAAGACCCCAGAACCTCACCCCGCACCAGCAGACCCCACTTGGCACCACGTGCACCCACCAGGCACGAAACCCCCAGAGACCTTCTGATCGCCAGAGAGAACCCAAAACAAACGAGGATACTTTTGTCTAATTAGGTCTGCCTAGCTATTGCCCCCTTCCTCACTCCATTTCATTTTTTTACATTAAAAAAAAAAAAAAAGACTACATTTTCTTCTTAAACTGCCTCAGATTTTCCTTCAGTCTAAATTCATCTGGGCTCTGTGCAATGTCACCAGGTCAGTTTGTGCTCCTGCTGTAATTCTAATTTTGTCAGCTTTCTGTTTTCTAGGGAGTTGGGGGATTTTTCTTTCTTTTTTTTTTTTTTTCCTTCCCCCCAAGTCAAAAATGATTTTGCATAACAGTAATAATGTTAATGGCCCTGCACAGCGCATCCAGATTTCAGCTGCAGCCAGGGAGAAATAAACATCTCATCTTTGCCCTGCTGTTTATCTACCCACAGCAGAGCCTGGTATCAGGTCAGAACCTGTAATTTCATTAACTTTATCACTCAGACGCGCTTGTTGCTGGATGTCATTATTCAGCACATCGCTCCCGTGTTTTTGTTTGCGCTGGGCTTCACTTCAGATGCTCCGGCGCCGTGTGGGACCGTCCCTCCCATCCGCATCGCTGCAGAGCGCTGCCTGAGACTGAGGGGGAAAGTTTGGCTCGCCGATCTGCGCTCTGCACACGTTTTGTGCTGCTCAACCTCCCGAGCAGGGACTTCTCTCCCATTTTGCAGGGCTGCAGAGTCATTCATCCACTGCAATTCCCTGCTTGACCCGATACATCCAGAAGCTCCACGTGGGGAATGAAAAATAAACCCACTTTTCCTCGTGGAAAGGGTAAGCGAGCCCAACAGCCACGCAGCGCGGGATGCGCGAATCCCCGGTGATGGAAAGCACCCGCCGCCAGCACGACCCGGCACCTGCAAATCAATCACTGCCCGGCGGGGGGAAAGCAAGCAGCGCAGGCAGGTGGAGGACGAGCCAAAATGCTCCATCTTCATCGGATTTGCCATCCCTGGTAATTAATGCTGGGAAGTGACACTTGAAAGAGCCTCTAGTGACAGCCCCAGCGATGATACCGTTTGGAGCCCGCTGACAAGTCCCAGCTGATGTCTTATCACAACGCTACACCGCAAGGAGCAGCAAGGAGAGCTTTTCCCTCGAGCGCTGACGGACTCCCCAGGATGCGGGCACAGGTCCTCGCCCGGCCCTGGTCATCGCACCCAAACCTGGTGGCTCCGGCCAGGCAGCCGGGCACCGGGGGGACGGCTGACCCCATCCTTCATCTGGGGCCAACGCTCCAGCTGGCTTCCCCTTCAGGCATCCATCTTCAACCCACCTGTAAAACAGTGCCTGAGCAGAACTGCTTTCCAGCCCCTGGAGATCTCCAGGTACGCGGTGTCTGCTCGCACCAACTGCAGAGCTTCTCACCCCACCTGCCGCAGCCCCGCGGGAATCCCGGCCGCATCTGCTGCCGCCGGCAGGTCGAGGCATCGGTGTGCGCAGCACATCCAACACCTCCCGCATCACCGCCTTCCCCACGCGCGTGCAAAGCCCACAGCACCTATATTTTGTATTTCTGGTGTAAAAATCCCACAGCCACCTCGTCCGTGGCAATCCAGGCTCTGGCCAGCGTCAGCCGAGAGGAGCAACTAGCACGTACCAAAGCTTGATCCTTCAGCAGAGCCTCATCCAAGAGCGTCCATCTGGGAGGGAAGACACAGTGAACCGGCACGGTTTGGAAGGGTGAGACCAGGCAAGGCGCAACCCTGCCTCGATCCACGGTGAGGAGCCTGGAGGCATCACGAGCTGAACCCGTGGGAGCATTTGGGATTGTATCTCACAGCCTGGGGTAGCCCTGGCCCTGCAGGCAGCTTGCAGCCCTGCCATGGGGGGATTTTTCAGTCAGTATAAGAAGTTTCTTTATTGCCGATTCCTGAAGCCCTCAGATAGCTTAATATTCTGCCCTAGATCTTGTTTACTATTATGTTTTGAAGAGGACTGAAATGCAGTTACTGCTGCCTTCCCCACTCACACAACTCTAAATAATTTATAGAAAAGCAAAACAAAGAAGAGAATATGAGAGAATAAAAAAGGCAGCTCAGTAACGATATATGAAGGCTTTCATTTGTTCATTCTTACCAAGCAGAGAGTTGGGGAAACATCTCTTAACACCGTGGGCCGGTAACAGCCAGCCGTACACAAAGGGGGATGCCAACAGGGATGCTCAGCTCCGCACTCGAGGACGGCAGACGGACCCCTGGGCACCTCCGCGTTTGTTTGAGCAACGATAACCATCACCTCACTTAGAAGAGGAAAGAGTAAAAAACACTTTAAAGGGGGAAGAAACACAACCTCAGCCACCGCTTACGACCACGGCAGCTGCAAGGACCCGCTTTCCAGCCACAACGCATCACCCCGCTCCCATGCTCAGAGCTGCAGAGTCTCCTCCGCGGAGCCGAGGAGAGTCCCTGTCCCCATCCCCATCCCCCAGCACTGCCACCCTGGGCGCTCCGACAGGGACCGCCCAGTCTTTATGGGAATCCCACATGCCGGTGGGACGAAGGGAGGGATGGTCCAGCATCACCCCAAGAGCCCCTTCCCTGCGCAGAGGGAGCCGGTGCATCCCATCCTCGCTCCTGCTGGAGTCACTCAGCAATTAGCACTAATGTGCTTTGCTTTTGTTTATTCAAGTGCATTTTACTGTGCGTTGCAGGTGAACAATATTAAATGGCTTCTAATAACATTTCAATAAGCAGAGGTGGGTGTTGCGGCTTCTGAGAGACAGACTTTAAAAACGCAGGCAATCAAACGTGCATTAGCCAAAACACTCCAGGGAAAGCGCCGCACTGCTCCGCGCGCGCCGGAGGAGCATCCCCCCCGAGTCACGCAGCTGTACCCGTGCAGCCCCCGGTCCCTCCGCTGGGGGGGTGGGCAGTACCCAGACCCTGCCTGGTCCTCTCACCACGGCTCTCCAAGCACAGAGAGCAGGACAAGAGGGTCCGGCAGCACGGGTTTGATCCGCAGTTAAGAGAACAACTAAATAAAGGGCAGCCGGTCCAGACTGCTTCATACATGTTGGCCTCCTCCTAGAGCTCCCGAGCGCCTTCCAGTAATGCTTTCAGAGATGCCACCAGCGCCCGTCACCCGCAGTTTGGTCTCTCCTCCTCTCCCAGGAGAAGCTGACAGCAGATAAGGCACCTCCCCAGCTGCTCAGCCCCGGCCGTAGGGGCTCCCCTCTGCTCCCCCCATACCCGGCACAGCCAGCAACGGGCGCCATCGTGTACGCTGTCACCGCAGAGGTCTGCGTGTCTGCCTGTCCTACCGCATCCAACCGTTGGCTACTCGCTGTGTCGACGTCGGACCGCTTTACCCAAAGCGACCCAACCACTACTTTCTTTCCGAGCTGGGCAGAGCTTTGGGGATGGAGAACCCCAAAGGGACCAGAGCTCCTCCAAATCCCAGCCCAGCACCTTCAGGGAAGGCGCACAGCACCCACAGCACCTCGCCTGCTCAGGAACGGGCACCCCAGCCTGGCTCTCGCCGCCCAGCTCCCCGCAGCTCCTAGCAGGGGATTTATACCTCACAACAGCGGCGTTATCAGCTATTATACCGTACAAGTGGTCAGCACCATAGGGACAGGCAGCAGTCAGAACCTACACTTACGGAATTGTATAGGCTTCTTTCTAATCTGACCTGCAGGCGCTATATAACACTGTACCGCTGTGCCATATACCACGAGTGGGTAACGGTTCACATTCGGGGTCTGTGTCCATCCATCGGATCCACATAGATTCAGCTCCGAGCTCCCTCCTGCAATGGGAATTTTCCAACCTGCTGTTTCCAACTCCACACGGAGCTTCTCCATGCTTGCCTTAAATCTACAGTCCTGATGAGTTTGTTTGCGGGTGACTACAGCATCTTTTGTCTGATTGCTCAGAGAATAAAGTACAGGGGATGTTTTGCTGCTCACAGAAAATACAGCTTTATGGAGCAGCTCTCGGAGGAGCATCAAGGCTCGGCAGGCTGGCGGAGCCCCAGTGCACCGACACGCTCACTCGCTCGAGCCGATGCCCTACTCGACAGCGCGGCAATGAACGTTTCGGCCACCTAGAGAGAGAAGACCGGCCTGATTGATGCCCAGGTGCTAAGCACTCACTCACGGCAAGAAGGCGGTACGAATCCCAGCATTCCCATCCTGCTGAGGAGCCCATCGTGTCGTGGGAGCACACGCTCAGGATGACTCCTCCGTGCTGCCCGGTGCAAGGCGCTGCGTAAGCCCACGGCAAAAGAGCAACTCCCCTGCCTGGGGCAATGCCAGCGCTGCTCCCCAAGCCAGGCATCCCCTGTGCCACCGGGGCTTTCACAGCGGTCTCTGCCATTGCTAGGACCGGACACGCCACCGAGCCTGGCAGCGGAGCCGTCAGCTTCCCAACCCATCCCATCCCATCCCATCCCATCCCATCCCCAGCCTCAAACGGAAACAGGAGACTGTTTTTGGAAGAGGTCATGACAAAGGAGACGGGTCATATCCTAGGAAGGTGGCTCTCCGCGGAGCTCCCAAGCACACAGCTCGCACGCTCCTGCGGCATCTGAAGCGCCAGCGAAGGGCAGTCAGGGAGCGCTGCGAGACCAGGGAACCCCGTCCTCGGGGCTGGCAGTGACAGCTGAGGGCTCACAGCTACCGTGCCTCAGTTTCCCCAGCACCACCCAAAGGTGATTCCCCGCTCAGGAAGGGCAGCAAACCATCTTGTAGATGACAGCTGAGGACCGAAGCCTGGAGAGCCAAACGCCACCCACAGGGACTATGTCATGGATGAGCCATCCTCTCTAGGTGACAACACACAGGACAGACAGCCTGGTACAGGATGGGAAGAGGGAAAAAGGAGAGAGAAAAGGCACTAACCTTTCTTTTCATAGTCAGGCTTCTCCTCCCCGCCCCGGCCCAGGCTCTCCAGCGTCCTCGTCACCTGGCTGCCAAACTCATCCTCCCTGGTGCTGGGCTCTGCCCGTCGCGGCGTCTCCTCCTCCTCCTCGTCCTCGTAGTCATCCAGGATGGGGGTCTCGCGGATGGGCACCCCGATGACCGAGTTGTGGGCTTGGAGGCGTGAGTTGCGGAAGCTCTCGCGGGCCTGGGGGCCCAGCAGCACCGAGGGGATGTAGTGGATCTCGTGGGTGGCCTCCGTGCTGGCGCTCTTCTGCGGGATGCGGCGGCGCTTGTGCCAGCGCCTCTGGGCGTACAGAGCCACCGTGAAGACCAAGAGGAGCAGGAGCAGTGCGATCAGCCCACCCTGCAGAGGAGAGCAAAGGGCACGGGTCAGGAGATGCACAGGGCACAGGGATGGGTGATGAGATGCAGAGGGCACAGGGATGGACCGGGGGATGCAGAGGGCACAGGGAGGGACCGGGGGATGCAGAGGGCACAGGGAGGGACCGGGGGATGCAGAGGGCACAGGGATGGGTGACAAGATACAGAGGGCACAGGGATGGACCGGGGGATGCAGAGGGCACAGGTATGGACCGGGGGATGCAGAGGGCACAGGGATGGACCGGGGGATGCACAGGGCACAGGGATGTGTGACAAGATACAGAGGGCACAGGGATGGACCGGGGGATGCACAGGGCACAGGGATGGGTGACAAGATACAGAGGGCACAGGGATGGACCAAGGGATGCTGTGAATCCACAGACTCTCTCTCTCTCTCCTCTTCCACCCCCAGGAGCAGCATTTCATCGATGCTCCATGAACTACACACAGGTGGATTCATGAAGCAGCCACCTCTGGGGAGGGACATCACCAGCCGGAGCAGCAGGGTGCCAGAGGTGGCCTTTGGCCAGCGACAGCACAGTGATACCCCCGGCTCAGCTCTGCCCAAGTTATTTTGCCCGCTCTCCCGGGGTCATTGCTCCTGCCGTGCACCCCTTGGGCCCCCCTAGCCCCCCGACACACACAGGGGCCGAGGTGGGCGAGCACCCCCTCCCGCCCTGCACTGGGAAGCAGGAAAGAAGGCAACCACATCCCACCACTTAGGAGAAAAAAAAAAACTCATTAAAACAACCCAGCCCCCGACGGGAGCAGTAAAGCCTCAACAGAGACAAACACAACATTTCACACCACCGACGGTGCAATAAATGGCACCACAGAACTGCCGCTCCCCAGGGCACGGTTACCCCAGCACCACCAGTTCGGGTTGTGATTTGCTGATGGTTTCAGCAAAACTTCACCTGCAGACCTGGGGGCACAGCACAACGTATTCCAGACTCCTGCAAAGCTCTCCTTTTCTCTCCCCTCCAAATTTTCTTGAGTGCAGCTCCCAACCACATTACCGTCCAAAAAAAAAAAAAAAAATCTTTACTGAAAAAATAAACTTCCTAATTAACTATACACCCATGGAAGTGGTGTCTCCTCCCGAGGGAGCCGGGCTGGGAAGCGCCGAAGGGAGCCAGCCCTGCCGCCAGCTGCTCGGGAGGTTAAATTCAGCCCCAGTTGCTCAGCCCTGCGCAGGCAGAGCTGTGCGTGTACCAGCTTCCAGCCCCTTCACCTCCGCAGCATCGGAGCAATTTTATCCCGTGGCAGAGAAGCAAAGCAAGGCATGTAAGATCAGGAGTGGGGTGAGCAATCGGGGTTTTGCAACACGACGTGGAAGAGCCAGGACAGGGCAGGCACAGGGGATGCCACAGTCCAGGACTTTACAGAGTGGGCAACAGCAAAGCAGAGATGCGCAAATATTTCATCTACATTTGATACAAAGCACTGTGCCATACCTGGAGCGTGGCTCCAGCTCCTCAACAGAATCAGAGAATTGCTGAGGTTGGAAGGGACCTTTAAGATCATCAAGTCCAACCACCAACCTACCCTGACAAAACCACCTCTAACCATGTCCCCAAGTACCACGTCCACCTTTTAAACACCTCCAGGGATGGCGAATCCACCCCCTCCCTGGGCAGCCTCCTCCATCGTGAGCGAGCATGGCTCTGTTGCAATCTGTGGAGTTGTACTGATGTATGTCAGCTGAGAATCTGAATCTACAGGCTCCTCTCTCCCTACCCTCCCAAGAGGCACCAAAGTTTTCATTGGTTTCACTGGAAGTTTTGTTTGCATCCCATCGGGCCCATAGTATTTGAATTTGTGGGACTTGCCACTGTCACACGAGGTGCATGATTGTCACTTTTGTCAGGAATTTTGAGACAACAGCTGGAGGGAAAGCAGCAAGTTCTGTGGTGAGGCCAAAATGGTCCTTCCGAGTTAGGCAAGGCCTGTACAGTTACCTTCTCAGTGCTGCTGATATTTCCCAATCATCACTGTCCTGTTACAGAGTTGATACTGAACATCAGACCATCTTGTGTGAATGGAAAAATGAACAGCCCTGGTGCATGACATACACACTTCAATGTATAAATAAACAAGTAACTTATGACTTCCGTACTTTGCTCATCACGTTATCTAGCCATAAACTATACCTTACCCAGATTCGGTCTTGCAACCTTGGCTTTTTTATGTGCTCACTGTTAACCTGGAAGACTGCCACAGCTGTACAGCAGGCCTGAAAGATGTCTCTGATAGTTCTAGTCCCATGTTATTTTCTGGTTATTCGGTGGTGCCAGAGAAACTCTGAAGACCTTGTGATGCATCATTAACAGTGTCTTCTCATGTTCGTCTATGGGTAGCCACTTGCAAGCAGTTATGTGTATGTTCATAACTGCTGCATAACAGACTACAAAACCACACATGACCTAAATAATTTGCTGGCATGCTAATGAATAGTAAACCCAGACAGCTCAACCATCTGCATGCTCTGCTTTTTATCAGTTTTAAGTGTGTTGGGTTTGGGTGTATGTGTGTCCCCTCCAACATAAAAACATACTTTTGATCTATCACAGAAAGGCCCTTTTACCATAAAGATAAAAAGATAAAAAAGTATTCCTTTTGATTCCTTTTTCCATTATCGCTCTGATGAGAGTTGTATTGTCAGTTATTACAGAGGATGTAGAGTGCATTCAAAGAACAAGGAACTGTAGAGTACATCCAGCCCACAAGCTCGTTTATTAATTTGTGTTGCTGTTTACAGATGTGTTTGGAAATCTTCAGTACTATATGATGCACAAAGATGTTGGCTGCAATGAGAAGTGTCTCTAAGCCAACGCTGTGCTGCTGCCATGGTCTCTAGAGCTGTGATTGCAGCAGTCATGGAGAAAGTTTCCATTCTGACTGAACCTTCCCTGCAACGCACTGGATAATTTACCTTGGAGGATTTTTATTGCCTCTATCAGAAGCTTTTTGGTTATTAATACAGGAAAAGTAATATATATATATATTACTATGGATATTAATACACAGGAACCCAGGAGAGAATATCCTGAGCTTTATTACTTTTGATGGTTAAAAAAGTGCACTGACTGACTGACGTTTTCCAGAGAGTTTGAAATCTTCATAGAAGCAAAGTGTCTGCGTGCCATACAACATGACGCATCAAGGTAAAGATGTCTTTGTACAGGAGACAGCCCTATTAAGTAATATTTCTTTCTCCATAGATAGCCTTTTTGAGTCTCACCTTCTCACTCTCTTGAGAAAAAGGCTAAGGAGAAATTCCTTGAAGTTCCTCTTTCCTTTTCTACTTGGAATTGGTGTGCTCTCCTTTCCCCACTGCCTCATTGGCTGTGGGAAGGTGTTGGCTGTGATTCATTTTTTTTTTCTGTGTTTTTGCTTCTAGTGCTGGCAATAGTTAGACCATCCTGTGGTGCAGTGTCATCATGGTAAATACCAGACCAGCTCATCTCAATATTATTATGTTCAGTGAAGTGTGTCAATTAATTACTGTTCCCTTACGCTGTCACAAAGACACTTCCATTGCCCCAAGTACCACGTCCACCCTTTTTTTAAACACCTCCAGGGATGGCGAATCCACCCCCTCCCTGGGCAGCCTCCTCCAATGTTTGATAACCCTTTCCGTGAAAAAATGTTTCCTAATATCCAATCTAAACCTCACCTGACATAATTTGAATCCATTTCCTCTCGTCCTATCACTTGTCACCAGGGAGAAGAGGTCAGCCCCCACCTCTCTACAACCCCCTTTCAGGTAGGTGTAGAGAATGATAAGTTCTCCCTTCAGCCTCCTCTTCTCCAGGATGAACAACCCCAGTGCCCTCAGCCGTTCCTCATAAGGCTTGTCCTCCAGACCCCTCACCAGCTTTGTAGCCCTGGATCAGCTGTAAAGAGTTGGCATGGAACACTGCAGCTCACAGGATGAGTTAGCTGGGGGAGAGGCACTGGGAGCAGGAGCGGAGGAGACACACATCCCTGGACCACCTCGGCACCATAACCTGAGGAGAGGAGCCCACACAGCATCTCCCATCAGGACCCCCTCCTCTCCCCACTAATTGGCCCAACAGGAGCAGGGCTCGGGGACTCAGGAGGACATTGCTCAGCTTGACTTCCCCAATTTAGGTGACATGAGCCATCAGGAAAGGCAGTTTAGCAGCCAGGAGATGCTCAGGGATCCCCGCGTGGGAGAATGGCATGGCTCGCTGAGCTGACCGGATTCATGCCCTGTAGTACCAGAGCACCCAAAGGACCAGCAGGATGGAGACCCTCCATGGCCTTCCATGCTCAGCAGTGACAAACAACGTGGACACCTCAACCTGGAAGAGCAGAAATGTGTTTCCTTGGCTCTGCGTGGCGCCTGATGCACAGAGACCCCACAGCATCTCCCCAGTGTGCGTCACCCAGCACCAAACTGGGGCTGTTCCCTTGGAAGCCCAGTTTTCTGGAGAGAAACCACAGCACACCAGACCCTGCAAAAGGGAGACCCAGTGCCGAGGACAGACAGCAGGGCCACAAACTTCAACACAACAAACCACACTGCAAAATCAGGGCCGGCTTTGTGTGCCGGCATCCTTCCAGCAAAGCGAGGGCGCTCTGAGGGGTTTCAGAGCAACGCTCACGGACACGACCACTGGGAAAAGCCTTCTCCAAGACCTCACCACCGAGCCACCAAGCCGCCCAGCTGGACATCACTGGTGCCGGGGTGCTCTCTGCAAGCACGAAGTGGCTGTAGGGCAGAGCAGGGCACTCGCTCCCCCCGGGAAAGCACAACCAGAGACGACCCAGATGCTCGGAAAAGGGAAGGGTGGTCGAGAAAGCCCCTCACGAGGGGCAGCTCCGCAGGCTGGACCCTGGGAAGGGGTCCCGGCATCCACGACAGAGCCGGGGCCACGTGCCTGCCTGGCTGCGTCTGCCCCTGGGAAAGGGCTTGGAACAGATAAACCTGTCAGCGTATTAAATTCAAGATCT